ATTCCTCTCGTCACCATGTACAGCCCAATCACCATAAGCTGGATCGCATCTTGCAACTTCATCATATACCTCTTGAAGTACACGCTTTAAATTTTCATCGCAAACTTCATTGTCCCAACCCTTTGTCAAACTAACCACTCTTCTTTTCAAAAGACTACAAACCACATACCACATACTGGTAAATGACCAACCACATACTGGTAAATGACCTACCAACTGCCCGCAAATGAAAAACACTATTCTTTTACTTAACTTTTTCGGCATTGCGTCGACTTGACTCTCCTTGGACCAGATCAACTTGTCACCAACCTTGTTCACACGCATTCCCAAAATAAGAACCCCATTGCATCCAATCTTTTTACCATATTTTTTAAAATGTCTTTTGACATAATCAAAACTCACTACTTCCTCATTGACAAAAATATCGTCCACGTAAGCGGATGCTCCTCTCTTCACCAATTCATCTTGATCAAAAATGGCACTCACAATAGATTTTATGACCATTGGAGCAACGTTTAATCCTAAACCAAACCGTGTGAAACAATACCTTTTGTTTTGAAAAACCACTGTTTGAAATGGCCAAAGAGAATCTTCAGTTTTTAATTGGAGATAAGCATTGCGTAAATCAATAATTTCTGGTTTCTTTCCCATTCTTTTCCATTTCCTCAGCTTCTCAACACACACATCTGCATCTCTTGTATACGTTTCAATAAAACTGTTAGCTTCTCTCCAGTCTAAAACGGGTCTGATTTCATTATCTTTATTTTGTTGGATAACAGCTATTAAGGGAATTGCCCTTTGGGTGGTCCCATCTTATTTTCGTCATATTTAATTAACCATTTACAATTGATCCAATCCGGCAGTTATTTTTCATATTCTGCTCTGGGATATTTTGGTATGCTGTATTAGGCAACTTTGTTAACCAACTGGTTGCGGCCTTCTCCATCTCTCCATTTCGATTTAACTTCCCATTCGACACCATTAAATATTGCTTCATGATCTTGCTTTTTAATTTCAATTTTATTGACTTTATCTTTCTTTGAGACTGCTATTCCACACAAGCCAAACCCAAATTTTGCTATTCCAGACGGGAAAATAAAAACTCGTCCTAGCAATTTAATGGAACTCATTCCCAGCATCATATCAACTCCAAATGGTTGAAAATCCACTAAAATAACTTCTTCTTGTATTTGAATACCATCAACCTCAATAGTGACAGCCGCTAATCCATTACATTGATGAGATTAACCACCAAAAGTTACTACCTTTGAAGGATTCTGGGATTTATGTTGCTTTCTTGACAACAGTTTTTGATGTATAATTGTCTTTGAACAACCCGTGTCTACCATAGCTGTTGCTAACAAACCATTAACTTTTAGATGAATAATAGATAATGCGCTAATTCCACCATTGTTCAGGAACGAGGTAGCGCACATTCATTGCTCCCGCACTTGTTTCCCTGCTTCATTAGGCATTTTGCAGCCACGTGTCCTTCATTCCCAGATTTAAAACATTGAAAACAATTCTTCGGAGCCAGATTCTTTGCAAAGGAACAGTTTCTCGCGATATGATTTAACCTTTTGCAGTTGCAACAGACTAACAAAACTTTTGTGTCTTGATTTCGAAAAACAGCGCCAACAGCATCATCTACGCATACACGATTGGATCCATAACAGCTCGAAATCTTGATGATAAATCTTTGGGTAATCCAACAACAAACGCTAATCGAATAGACTCTTCTGACAATTTAGCAAGATAAGCCAATCGTTTTAAGTCGGCCAAAAACACATCAACTGTCTCTCCAACATTTAATTTTCGTTTAACAAAAAGTTCGTATGCCGTATAAGCATCTAAAGAAAATGCTATTAACAAGACACGCTCAACTTCTTCTTCGT